CTTTTTTAAACCTTAATGTATGTTAGCTGGATTCCTGTATTTTTTCACTAAAATTTTGAGAGTTTTCCACTCGAACCTTCCGGTTTTCGGGTAAGTTAAAAGAAAATAGAACCCATACCCGCAACTGCTCTACCCGTACCCGACAACTTCGTACCCGTTCCCGACCTTCGGGTCGGGTCGGGTACGGGTCGCGTTGCACATCTCTAGATTATATTGATTTCATCAGATTTAACGAACGAAACGAAAGAATTTACGGCATTATCATTGATTAAAGGCTCACTGCCATTTACCTTGCATTAATTAGAGTGATACATCTTGCCGAAATATACATCACATATTCAAAGATTTTAACTTAGAATTCTTTTGAAAATTTTCTTTTGAAAACAACCTCGTCATCATTTCAACGTTTAATTGGGATTTTTCGAAAACGACTGCATTTCGATAGTCCCATATCGTTTTAATGAAATTTCCAATTTGGAAAATGATATTTTACGTTGTGCCACAGTGAGATCATATGAGAGGATTTTCTCGATGTAAACGATTTGATTCGTTTCGCGCTCAAAAGACACATGAGTCGCATCAACAATCAAGTCACTGTTAACCATATCGCATTAAAGTAAGTCGAATTCCCATTATTGCGCGTTAACGCTTAGTAATGCATTATACTGTGCGCCAGTTTGAGACTTAATGCGGGGTTGAAGCACGATAATGAATTGAAAAAATGCTTTTCATAAATTAATGACCTTTAATGCATAAATAATAGTTTATAACGGCTTAGCATAACAGATCTCGTCTTTAACAAATTGTAATGTCCAATTTTTTGATACACTTTACGTAGTCTTTTATGCTTTCATGTATTATAATGTATAACAATATTAATCTATTATCATGTTTATTACTTTTAAATTTTATTTAATGTACAGTAAGGCCTCAAATTGTTCAATGGGTTACCTCTGTAACGTTAGGTATATCGTAATGCGTCCGAATGAATAATGCATGAGAATCCATTATACAATATCATCGGAACGTACGCCAATATTTGAGTATATTTCGAGCTTCAGTTGTTCTCTTCTCTGATTTACACATAGAATTTCATTTTGTCTACACCTTGGTCCATACTCATCCTTGTCGCAGTTAGCCTTCCAAGTTCGGGGACAATCGGCACGCACGCTACAGCATGCGCACATTCGATTGTCCCGCAATCTTTACAACAATCCATTTCGCACTACGCCCGTCTCACTTGACGCGTCGTTCAATTTCTCTCAACCCTGACCTCAATATGGGACAACGAAATAATTTGTTGCTCGACGAAATGCCTCAGTTAGTGGTGCCACAGTATCCGACTAACATCAAAGATGAGATACAGAGGAAGTTTAATTTCTCCACAACCATTCAACATGATTGAAATAGATACATATTGATCTGCACGATTAGCTGCTGTTGCGATTTTTCTGTAACCATTGAACAGCGTTTCTAATGAGAACCGCAAGGAGCGTGCGCCAGTGCGCTTTGCTTTTAAACGCAAAGTGCACCGGGGCACTTTGCGAAGCGAAAAAATTGTGTTTTTAGAGTGCATTACGGACGCAAAAGTAGAGTGCATCTCAAAAATCGGAGCGCAAAACAAAGTGCCGGTCAAGGACTCAGAGTGCGTGTGCACTTTGCTACCGCTTGTGGTCCTAGAAACGGCTAAAACATGAATTGGAAAGAAAGCGTATTGACGACTTATGGGTAGATAGCTGTCGCGTAAGATGCTCCGATATCCCAAGAGAGTTTGTGGGGAAGTTAGAAAAAGCCCAGGAACTGATCAAAAGATGATGTATGGGACACGTCAGGGAAGTGTCGCCATCAGAGTAGAAAACGCCACTTGTACGGATCACGAGTGGTATGAGGTGACTTATAGCTTATAGCGAAAGCACATGTTGGTCGTAACTAAGCAAACCAATATGACGCCGCTAAGCCGGAAACGAGCAGTTTATGCACGCGTGTCACGAAGGAGTCTGATAAGCAATCATCGCCTTTACTAAAAATAGTAGTGATGCATTTCTGGCTTGAAGTAGAAATATCTAAATACATAAACTTCGTTATAGGACGCGCGTAAAAGATCAAACAGAATTCGGATAAAGGTCCGAATAAGCAGGAAGATCAAAATCAGGATTCAATATCTCCTCATTATTTGGTGCATCCACAGGATACACGGAAGAAAGTAAATCCTCCACCACCATCCTCTCACAGACTCGCCCATGAACATCAAAAAATCCAACATGTGGATTATTTTCTGCGACTCTTTGCAGTTCTATCGCATGATTATGATGATGTGGACAATTCTCCATCCCGACTAGCACGATGGTTACGTACGCCCATGTTTCTCCTAGTAATTCCAACTCGAACTCATCCATGTCCATTGCTTCGCCGTCGAGAAAGACGAGCAGGGAAAGCTTGGGCATACCCGGCGTTGGTTGCCATCCGTAGACTGGATCATATCTTCCGTGACCTTGTTTACGTTGTTGGTCGAAATAGGTGTTTTTTTCAGTTTGCCAGCCTTGCATTACTTGAGTTCCTCCTCCTAGCTGAATTTTATTTTTCGACTCTGCAGCGAAATTTCTAGAGGCCAATTGTCCGACATATCTGCCGTTGGAAGAGAATGTCACCGTCGAAATTCCGATTTGATGTGGATGCTGTTTCTGTGCTCGTGGTATCATGTGGTTCAAAAGTCGATGGACCAGACTTTGCACAAGGACTATATTCGCCGGTTGATCGTGGTATCGTGTAATTCCATCTGGTCCAAGAATTCCCTGGTGCGGATTCCACGTCATTGAACTGGAGACATCGAGCAGGAGCATTGTTTCAATGTGATCCGTACCAGCAAGGATACCTTCAGCGAGTTCATTCAGTGCGTGTCGACGAGTTTCGTAAATAATGTTATTAACCTGCTTCGAATACTCGTTCGAGTTGGTTTCACTGTCGTTTTGAAACACGTCGTATTTGCTTCGATACATCCGTAATTTCTGAGGATCGAGCTTGACTGCTTGGGCGTTTCGTGCATTGCCCCGTCTGATGATTTCTTGACAATTACGAGCGATGTTGAGTGGTCTAAGAGCTCCACGTGGTCTATGACCATCTGGGGCGAGGGCGTGGTTAAGAATATAGTATAGTCTTTTCTCACCCTTCGTTTCCCAATACGAAAATTCCGGATACTGCCAGGCCAATTTTTGAGTACGAACCCATTCTATTGGAATAGGTTCCATATACCCTTTTCTCAAGTACTTCTTAAATTCGTGTGGTGAATTTTTGTATAGAGATTCCCAGTGATCCTTTGTCCTTGTAGCTATCCAGTAACGCATGACGAGTTCGCGAGTTGGAGTTCCAGGAGCGCCCCAGGATTTCTGCATTAATGAATCTAGTTCATTTTCACCGCGTTTTATCCAGCGGGAAAAGATGGATGTACTTCGCTTCATGGCTGGAGCATCTTGATTTGTATTTGCATCAGTCGTACTCGCGCTCTCAAGCATTGTGCGTGGCGATCTTAAGTTCTAGAGCTTGCTTGTACTATTATGGATTGAGAAATTTCGCTACTCACGTATTTTCTTTTGTTTGATAATAACGTCCATGAAAAAAACCTCTCGTTAACTTGGAGAAAATACTTTGTTTGTGAAGGAAAAAAATGAGTCATTAAGCTGTCTGACACAAAAAGCGTCATTCGTAGCTAAGCGCAGTCATGCATTCATTAAATCAAAAAATGCTGTGTTCTTTCTCTCTCTCTTTCTCTTGTTAATACAATAAAAAAATCTCGCCCACTTTTCCAATTCTCTTATTTGTGCATGTATTTCACACTGATTCACCTATAACCACCGCCTTCTATGTAGCAGCTTTCTCGTTCACGCCTTGTTTTTTCGTTCCATACGGGAGACTCGACGCATTCTATTTTTCGCTCCGTTAGTGAAGTACACTCTGAAACACATATTCCAATAGGTTTTAGATCTTTGGAACCTGTAGTTCGAAATAATTTTTGGTTTAGAGCGAGCAACTTGATTTTTGCGTTATTCGGCAGAGCCGGAGATCGTGGTATATATGAGAAATTTTTATTAAACGAATTAGGCGAGATTGCTAGAGAAATTGTACCTGACCTCAAGAAGCGCTTTATGGCGCAAAACGCGAAATAACTTAAAAAGACGGTGAATCCTTTTTAGCTTCGAAAGTCCCAAAACTTGATCTTTAAATCCCAAAATACGGTTTTTGAGAGGTCAAATTTTATTTATTAACACTTCCACGTCGTTGTGTTTGCATATCATGTATTGAACGTTTACATTCTATTTCTGTTGTTATCACATTACTCGATATAATTGCATGTGCACTATCAGCTTTTTTCAAATCATCTGAAGCTATTTTATAGTCCGTTTTTGTTTTGTTTTGTTGTTGTCTAATTTTGTTTTACAATCAATTAACATTTAATGAGCTTCTTTAAATTGTTTTTTTAAATTCTTTTGCACGAAGATATTGATGAGATGATAAACTATTTGATACGTATGTATCAGTGACAATTTTACGATATTGGTCGATAATTTGTTGAATATTTTGAGTACGTTTATCTTCAATATCGGTTAAAGAAGATCTGTTAATAATTGCACAGACGATTCGCTTAACAGCACTGAATCTCCTGTGTGGATTAACAAAATACTAATTTCAGCCGGTTTCTGTGGACCTCAACAGTTTTCATCAATCCGTTTTAGTCTTCTAAGTACTACTTTTTTTCCTAATGAATTGTAGGTCATTGTACTATCTATTGACTTTTGTCTGAAAACCAGCATTCTTCTTTATTTGGTAATCTAACCTTTATAAACGCGTGAATAATTAATTCTTGTTCACTTTTGAAGAAAAAAAAGTATGTTAAAAAATTCATAAATAATTACTCAGTTTAGTCTGTTAGTTTACTTCTACTGATTTCCTGGTGAGAAAAGAGAACTATACATATAAATTCACCTAGAGAAGAAAGAGCGAGAGATAGAGAAAGAAAGAATAACTATTCCATGATTGCAATGTCGTCTCCATCTATTATTTTCTCGTTGTAGAAGAATTATTGAGAATTATTTCCTTTTTCTCATCTTATATAACTTATTTACATAGCAGGTCGATATGCACAAATATAAGAAAAAAATCATTTTATTTAATGGGAAAACGTTTTCTCATTATTTTCTTCTCTTTTTTTGTATGTATCTGTGTACGTAGAAAATGTTGCAAAAATAAATTCTCATTCGCGGCATAATTAGTTTGACTGTGGTAGAAGAATGCTTACGTCAAAAAAAATTCGTAACATGGAAAAAGAGCTAATGATGCGTTCTAAGGTACGTTAATTGAACTGTGAATATCTTCTTAACTTGCTGTTTCTCACAGGAATCCAATTACAAACGATTACAAACACAGCTTACGATAAATGTTATGGAAGATGATACAAAACGTAAATCATTAATTCGTCAAGGAAATCAAATACAACGTCAACTTTCATATGACCAACATTCATTCGATAGAATGGTGGAAAGAAAAAAAGTCATAGAAGAACATCGAGATCAAGTAGTCAAGAGAGCAGAAACTGATAGATTGTTGCGCATGAATAACCGAGCTTTGGCAGCAGAAGATCCTCATCGTATACGTTATCCAAAACCGAAGCCGTTTGCTCAGCCGATAAAACCCGTTTCAAGTAGTGTCAATACAAAATCTGTTCGTAAACAATGAGCATCCATTACATTTTAGAACGATTTTAGAAACGATTTTGCTCAGCGTTAGTTATGTTTACTCTGCACACCGAATAATTTTCAGGACAGTCACAGATGTAGTATGTTTTTGTGTTTATTATTGAATCTTTTTTTAACGATATCTCCGTATTTCTAATGTACACAATTTGATAAACGTAAAAAGTTCAAATTTTCGAAGAATAGTTTCGCTGTTAAATTTCACTTTTAACTAAACTTTTTAATACAAATTGTGTAAAACAAAAACAATATGTTCAACATTAACGCGTACTCCTGTGTGAAAAACAAAAGGTCCGTTGCTAGTGTTGCCTTCTCTTGTAAATCATCTTCAAATCTTTAACCAATTTCTTTATTAAGAAACAATAACTTCATCCTCAATAATATTGTTTGATAACCTCCTCATAGTGTGCAATACACAATACACAATACATAATAGTGTGTAATACACCCGACATTTAGCAAAACAACTGAAGTGCTCTGTTTTCCGATCTAAGTGTACGAAACTATACTACAATATATGGGCCATGTATTACCCAGAGAATTATTCTTCTAACTGCAAAGGATCGTGAGGAAATACCTAGGAAAAAACTTAGCCTGAAAACATAATGAGGTGCGATAGAAATAAGCCTTTTGTTAAAGCCACCGAAGTTCAAAGAAACGACATCGATTATGAGCCTTCGGTCTTTTCTTGGCTAATTTCACGAAAAACTTTCTTAATTTGGACTTATAGTGTTCGGAGAAACAAATTTAATTTCAGAATTACCAAGTCTTGCAACCGGACGTGTGATCAGTATTCGAAGCGCCCGATTTCGCCAAACTTTGTCAAAATATGCGTTGATATACAGCACATGTATAGTGCATGACACTTCATGCAACTTTCTTCTTAGCTTTCTCTCTACCGTTTCAGAACATCCTGAGTTCTCAGATAAAATCTATTTTGCTCGACGCACGAACGTTTTTCAATGAAAGATAAGATGATATTCAGTATTGGAGCAATATTTTTTCAGAAAAATTACCACAGGAACTTTCTTTCCCTATTTATAGCGTTATAACATTATAAAACATGCTTTTTCTTAAATTATGGTATTACAACGCCATACATTTATCTCATTATAACGCGATAGACATAGTGTGTTATAAATCGTTGCAAAGTTATTTTTCAGGAATTTATAGTTTGTAGCAGGATAAAAATTTACATTACATTACAACTGTATAAATTTATAGCATTTGGATGGGTTTCAATTTTTTAGTGAGAGTTTTCTACTTCAATATAATGCGTTAGAAATTATAACGTCTGCGTTTCATCTAATTAAAACGTCATAAATTTGAAGAAACCTTTTATAGCTTTATAACTCATTAGATAATGCATATCGTACCCACTGA